AGCTTTGATATTCTCGGCTTAGACAATGTTTATTTTTAAAATTACTTCGCCAATGAACTCATAAGATGAGTCGTTCTATAAGCACGATAAAACATTCGCATCTGATCTTTATCTGATACACAAACTCTTGCCCTCGGCTCGCGTTTTTATATCAGATAAAGATCGGCTGCTCATGTTTTATCTAGAACATAAAAACGTGACTAACTGAGTTATCCAAGTGCTCTGAAGATTAGCTCTCAGGGCTCGAAATAACGTTCCCAACGTTCCCGATCATGGTGATCGGCAATCACAACTTTTTGCCGATCAAATAAAAATCTGACCGATCAGAACTCAGGAGCATTTGCGTGAGTTTTTCGGAAAAAAATTCTAAATATGCTAGTATAAATACTAAATACACATCTGAACAGGAAGTTTAACTTTATTTCAAATTCAAGTTTAAATCTACGACATTTGTGGACATATATATACAATATTAATAGTGTGACTTCATTATAATGTGTATTAAACTTAAAATTTATTATAACACTTTTTAAGTTTTAATTATAGTTTATAATTATAATTATATTTATATTGCATTTTTTCACACAAAAGCAAAAAACACAGCAGCGTTATCAATTAAGAACTAAAACTTATTATTTAATATTAAAAGAGAAAATCCTACTAAAAATAAACAATCCCACTCAAAAAAAAATCCTGACAATACCTCATGCAAATGTTTTATAGTAAATTACTTTAGCGAGAATAGTATTGCGGCCTTTCCTGTCGTATGACTCGTATCAACTAAACAAGAGCTTTTCGCGTATTTTATGTTACTTTTATTTGTCTTTTGCCGCGTACAGATAAGCATGTCTTCCAGGCAATGGTCAAATATATTTCTTGCCGATCAAGATGAACGGCAACCTTGCTTCTTCGCCGATCAAAAACAATTTCCTGCCGATCATTGATCGTTGATCGGCCGTTATTTCGAGCCCTGGCTCTTCAAGTTATCTGGTGGGGTTCGCCAAACGATTGTGTATTGTTTGTTTTCAGTGGATTGTTGGGATGGACCAGACAACCAACCTGTCATCTATCACGGCAAGACAATTACGTCGAAAATAAAGTTTCTGGATGTCATTAAAGCAATCAAAGAGAATGCTTTTGTAGCTAGCAAGTGAGTTGGTCTTCATTGACGTTCACTGGATAAGAGTTGGCAAGCGAGAGTTTGCATGAGAGTTTTCTCAAACTCTCATTCTCATTTGACTACTTTGTTCGAAGCCTCTTCAAAACGATCCAGTTAATACTCGATTGTAGTGGTGCCGTTGTATTGCTCCCTGGCTCTAGAAAGCTTGCTTACACGAAAGGGCATTCATGTCTTTAAATTATGCAATTATGTATGTATTTTTTAAACAAATGGCCTCAAAATTTGGTTTTGAAATGTTTTGTTGTTTGTAGGTATCCACTAATTCTCTCCATCGAAAACCACTGCAGTATTCCCCAGCAAAGAGTGATGGCACAAAACTTTTGCGATATTTTTGGAGGTGAGCTTGACCTCGGTCTCGATAATTCTTTATACCACAATCTTGGCATTATCCATTAATTGCTTATTATATATTTTCTCTTGTATAATATTTTAGATTATCTCCTGACATCTCCACTAGACCTAATGGAGACTAGCTTGCCCTCGCCGGAAGACTTAGTGTATAAAATTATTATAAAGGTAAAATGGCTTTACTATATAGGCTATAGAGCCTTAGAGGTTTTTTACTATATATAGACAAATTTTAAAACTAGGCAAGGAGATGCAAATAAATCACCATATGTAGCTAGAAAGAGCATGCTAATATGAGTAGAATTGCAAAGTTTGATTGCAAAATGTTGTAAAATGCAGAAAATATAGCCTTGCAAAGTTTGCAAATTTTGTATACTTTTGTATTGCGTGCGGAAATCGCTACCATTTTCGGCCCAAATGTGGTAGTAATTTCCGCAAGGCTATATTTTCCGCATTTTACAACATTTCGCAACCAAACTTTGCAATTTTACTAATTTCAGTATGCTCTTTCCGGGAATGTACTTTTTTTTTAGAAGATAAAAAAGTCTATAATGGGAATTGTCTATTACGAGATGAGGCTATACTGTGCCTGTGGACTTCAGAATATATGCCCCGCTTACAATGGCTGTTCTGTTTTTTCTTTAGTATAAAAAACTTGCCGCTGCCCCTAATGACAAAGGTATGATGGATTATTTGGAAAGATAAATTACTGTATACGAGATTTCGTTCAGTTTCATTTGCAAAATGAAGTTCTTTTCAAAGATTATTTCACACGAAATATCTATTTCTGCAACCTTGCAACCCAGTGTCCAGAGACATGTTGTGCAAAACGTATATTCACAGTACAATTGAGAACTTGACCCGAATTTTACTTCGCCAACCACCGAATGGAAACTATCAGAAAAATGAAAAGCAGTCGTTCTTATAGAACTTCTGTGGATGTGAATATCGTTTTTGATTTCCACCGCGAGGAGGTTGTGTTTTCATTCGTCTGTTTGTCTGTCTGTCTGTTTGTCTGCACGATAACTTACCGTCTCATCAGGACTGCCAATTAGCCTCTCTCACGAAGGCCAAAATCCGCCATTTTGGGGGCACTGTCTGCCCGCGTAAAAGATTCTAGACAATTCAAACAACGTGAAAAGCGGCCGTTAGAAAAGCTAATTCCGTGGCCTTTCCATGGCTGTCGTTTCTTATGCGTTTCTCATCTGTTTCTAAAATTGTGGTTTGTGACTTTGCCATGATGCAGCGAGGAACCGCGGTGGAGGCAGTAACCAGACCACGGATTATTTGTTTTGACCCAGTCCTCTATCTGCATCCTTTTGACATTTTTGAAGAAATTGTAAATGTATTTGTAACTGCAGGTACAGACGATGTTCTTAGTGAAACTTGCATGGACGGAATTCTCTATTTGGAAGATGAATATGACAAGGTTTGGTGTATTTAAAGTTAAGTTGTTTATGCCCATATCCCCAGTAATATAACTTCAATGGTATACAAATAATGAATGTTTATGAGTGCAATGGTAAGAATATTTTGATGAGGTGAAAGATGGAATGTTCCATTCAAGGAGGCGACAGCCGAGTTGAATGGAACATTCCATCTTTCACCTCATGAAAATATTCTTACCATATTGCACGAATAAACATTCATTATTTGTTTTATATAATACCAAAATAGACTAATAGATTCGTATGAGAAGCATTTTGACGGATGCGATTTATCGAAAACACAAAGAGTGCAATGGAATAAAACGTATTCCATTGCACTCTTGGGAAATGGAATTTTCTATTCAATATCACGTGACCATAAACAGCCAATTAAACGATCAGAATTCAATAAGGTATTATATCTACTCTAAGAGTACTAATACTATAATAATAGTAGAAATTATATTTCTCTTCCTGGTAGCAAAATCCAAAGATAAAAATTTTCTGTATACGTCGAATACAAAACTTTCTGCATATGTAACAGTAGCGAACTACAACTAGTCTACCCAGCCTTGGAAGATATTTTGTTAAAAAAGTTCCTGGCAGCCGTGCTGCTAGGACATTTTCCAGCACTGGATAGAGCTGTGACACTACAACATGTTTCAACTTCTCAGATATGGAGACCGCATTTCTTCGTGCTCAGCAACAACAGACTGGACTGGACGGCGGAACAAACAGATTCTGAGGATAAAGAAGACGATGAAGATCAATCTGAAGAAGAGCAATCTGAAGACGAAGAGGTAAAACGTACAGGCCATGATATAGCCAGATTTACAATACGAAATTAGTTTTCTGAAGTGCACTCTTCCTGTGAATTAGACTTGCCCCAAGTGGCTTCATTCTTGATAGGAATGTATCCAGTTTGTTAATCGATCAAAATTTTGTTGAAACTGACCTCAAAACAGACTGGATAGAGGATATGAAAACTGAAGCCAATCCGAGAGAGACTTGAAATCTTGGAGGAACTTGTAAACAAGTTGTGATTGACAACCTTGTAACAACTTGATAAAATGACGACATTGTTGCAACTTGTTGACAAGCTTGCTATAAGCCTGCTGCGAACACATCTTGTTGACAAGTTGTGAGATTTTTGCGTGTGTAGTTGTCGTAATTTCGTAAATTGGATGTATGAAAGGTAGGAGTGCAATTAAGTTTTTCATATATAATGAAGAACAGTGGGATTTTCAAAACAATGAAAAGACATGTACAAGCAATCTGGAAATGTTCTGGAAACCGAGGCTGATGTTCAGTTGACTGTTAACTCTATTTTTCTTTTCGTTGTAGTCGCCAAACGAAGAGCTTCACTTTTCTGAACCGTAAGTTGTTTTCCCCCTACAAAGCGTAGGTATCACGAATTTAAGACATGATTATTTTTCTAGATATTTACAGTAAACTGTAAAACATGGATTGAATATTTCTTTCCGTTTTCTAGTTGGTTTCACCGTGGGATAGACGGAGTGGCGGCAACAAAACTACTCCAACATTACAACAAAGGAAATGGTTCATTTCTTGTGCGAGAGTCGTCTAGAGCTGGAGGTTATAGTATCTCATTCTGGTGAGTAAACGTTCAATAATTATCCTCAGGCAGGGGTTGAAATGGGCGAGCGCCAGGTCGCCAAATTCGACAGCATTTTTCATCTGGCGACCAGATGTTTGCCTAAGGTAGCTCTCGGTGCGACTGATAAAGTATTTCACTCTGCCTCATTAAAATTAAAATTGAATTGATAAATCATTCTATCCACGGATCAAGTAAACATTTAATCGATAAATAAAGTGATTTATTAGTATCAATAACTCGATCAGTCGATCCTTGGTGGATTACTGTATTTTTAAAGTATCAACGAGTATTTCTATTTTCCCAGGCGCAATGGTGTAGCACAACATTGTCGCATCAAGACGAAACAAGTTGAAGGAGAAACAACATTTTCACTTGGCGAGAACGACAGTTTCGTAAACCTGTACAGTCTGGTGGACTTTTATAAATTACATCCTCTGAGAACGCCGCAGTTTGAAATCACTTTGACTGAAGCCATTTCCCAGGTTTGTTGAAAAGAATACTCAAGGTCAATTTATACTTCGAAGAGTTAGAATCCCGTAACTGGTGTAGTGTCCTGTTTCACTACAGGAGGAAATCCAATGAGATCAGTGAGGAAACCTAAACTAAACAAACCTTTTCTTCTGGACATCTTTATCAGTCTAAGTGTTCTTCGTTCAGACCCAGTAAGGCCCATACCTTATTAGTCTAGCGTTACTTGAAGGGGGAACCTAAACTAAACTAACTTTATTTGTACTGGATAGCTATATCATTGTTCCATGTAGAGGTCTAGTAAGGGCCTTATTTGTCCAATGACATCTTAGGCAAAAAGTTAGGTAAAAAGTAAGAGTTCCAGGAGCAAAAGGTGGTCATATGATGGCAATCTAAATCATCCCCTCCCCCTCCAATATTTCGCGTGTCCGAAAGGCACATACAATATAAATTGTCCCATGCAGATATACTTACATGAGATGTATTTTCTATTTTCAGCCAAACGCCCATTTGGACAAAGAGTAAGTTAAACTAGGGATATTCTCGTTGTGTAAAATGGACTACAAAACAATGGGCAATTGCTAAGAGGTAATTGGCTTAACTTTAAATATTTTAGGTGGTTTCACGTGTCACTGACCCGCGATGTGGCTGAGAATATGTTGATGCGGGCACCTCATGATGGCTCATTTCTCGTTCGAAAGAAAGAAACTACTGAGAAGAACCAGGAGGCATTTGCCATCTCGTTTAAGTATGTATAAGTTAAGTACTATTTACAGCATGAGCGGCCGTCACGTATCGGATATTCGGCTCGCGTTTGTATACAACACTGACAGCCGAGCTAGCCTGGCTTATACGAACAGCCCCATAAATTGAGCTAATTGACTTTTATTATACTACATAGCTGTATCAGATGTAACCTGTTTGCCAATTATGGTCTGCTCTGGAGGTCTAGTAAGGCTAATCACATATTGGTCCAGAATTGTTAAAGGAGAAATC